TCTATAGCCCGTTCCAGTTCCGACCACTGTCGAGACTGCCCATCCCCACGCTGGCCCTTGTTCTACCTACCTCCCTCTGCCAAAAAGAGGAAAAGAAACTTGCTTTTGGTGTCCGGGGAAAACGCTAGGCTCCGAGCCTCTAGGCCGCGCGGGTTGTTGCCTTGTGAACGAACCTCACACAAATCCCAGGACGAGGGAGCCCCACCTCCCCCAGTAACCACAGCAACCCGGGCCACGCCTTCATCCCAAACACAACCAAAGGCCCGCCAAGGACCACCCCCGGGCTCCCTCGGGACCCCTCCCAGCCCTGCGGCCAGCCCCGGCTGCAAAGAGAAAAAGCCAATGCCCCCATTGTACAGAGGTGGAGACTGAGGCCAGACAGGGCAGCACCTGTGCGACCAGGATTAGGACTCGAGCCCAGATCGCGCGTCCAGGGCTCCCTCCCATTCCGGGCACGGTGACTATCTCCTTCCCGTGCGCCTGGGGTTTCCACGTGGAGAGACCGAGAACCGCGCCGCTCCGGTAGAGTGGAGCCCATCCATTCAGTCTACTCTGCTTCCCATTGCCCCGACCGAGAAACTGAGACCGAGCGACGGGCCGGCACTTGCCCCGGACCCACCGCGAGCCCCTCCCTGCACCTCACCTGCTGGCCGCCGCCTTGCGCGGGTGGTTTCCTGGAGTTGAGCGGCAAACAAAGGTCTCCAATCCGAGCGCGGGGATGGGCGGCCGCCTCTTTGCCTAATCCGCGACGCCCGCCTGTGACCGGCGCGGGCGGCCCTGGGAGGCGGGGCCTCAGGCAGAGCCACCAATCGCAGGGAGGCGGCCGCCTGCGACCCGCCCCCAGGGACTCGAAAACGGGGGAGCGGCTTCTCAAGTTCCAGAGCCGAAAATCCCAGATCAGAGCGGCTGACCAGGACCGGTCTGACTGCAGACAGGACGAGTTGAGGCCCAGAGGGTAAGACATTTGTGCAAGGTCGCACAGAGCCACAGAAAGGAAGAAATCACAAAATTTTATAGCCCGAACGAACCATTTAATGACAGTAATAATAAACTTTTCCTGAACATTATGTGTCAGGCACTGTTGTAAACTCTTAGTATGCTCCATCCTCTCCTATGTTGTTGGGTGCCGACAAATCGATTCTGACTTATGGTGACCCCATGTGACACAGTAGAACTGCCCCGTAGGGTTTTCCATGCTGTGATCTTTATGGTGAGCAGCTCGATAGATCTTTCTCCTGAAGAGCCGCTGGGTGGTTCCAACTGCCAACCTTTCCGTTAGCAGCTAAGCGCTTAACCATTGTGTCACCAGGGCTCGTTTCCATGAGGTAGGTGGGTATTATCATTAACCCCCAAGCATAGTCCAAACCCCCATTAGACAAGCGGGAAAACCCTGGCCCTGAGGGACAAGAACTTGCCCAAGGCCCCACAATGAGTTGTTAGTTGCCGTGGAGTTGACTACACTCACGGTGACCTTATGTGCAACTGAACCAAATGTTGCGGGTCTCCAGTCCTAAGCCATCGTCGTGGTCTTTGATACATTTGAATCCATTGTTGTGGCTATTATGTCAATACACCACACTGAGGGTTTCCCTCGTTTTCCCTGCCTCTACTTTACCAAACATAACGTCCTTCTCTAGTGATTGGTGTTTCCTGATGATGTGTCCAAAGTAAGCAAGATGAAGTCTTGCCATCCTGGCTTCTAAGGAACATTCTGGCTGTATTTCTTTTAAGACTGATTTGCTTGTTCTTTTGGCAGAGTACAGGGCAAGAGTACTCCATTGTCTAGGCTGAAAGCACACCTTGAAGGAAGGCAGCATAGGTTATCAAACTGTCCTGGGCACTCACCCAATTCTGCCACTTGTCGCCACTGAACTTAAGGCAAATAGGATTCATGAGCCCCACCTCATGGGATTGCTAAGGGGAGTAAATAGCGCAGGCTCACAGTAAATAAATAGCACTGATTTAAAGAGCATCTTATCCAACCCTATTACTCAGTAGGGTTAATAGGCTTGGAAAAAGGAAGTGACTTGCTGGAGGCCCTTCATGGAGATGTGCTGCAGCCAAAATTCTTTCCTCCAGGCAGAAAACTCTTTTCATCCCCAGATTGCAGGTTAATCCCTACAAGCATACTCCAGTCAATTTCGACTCATAGCGACCCCACGGGATAGATTAGAACTGCCCCATGGGGTTTCCAAGGAGCAACTGGTGGGTTCCAACTGCTGACCTTTTGGTTAACAGCCAAGCTCTTAACCACTGTGCCACCATGACTCCCCCTACAAGCATATATAATAGTAATCATAGCAGCAGCTCCTAATCACTGAAGTTGCTACTCTGTTCCAAGGCAAACATTTTAGCTAATCCTTAAAATAACCTACAAGTTAGGTTAATATAAGGTCACTATCAGTTGAAATCAACTTGATGACAACGGGCTTGGTTTTGTTTTGTTTTGTTAGGTTAATATTATGATTCTCATTTACAGATGGGGAAACGAAGGCTCAGAGAGGTTAAGTGACTTGCTCAAGGTCACACAGGCAAGTAGTAGAGCTAGAATTTGATCCCAGGTATCTGAGGTGTGGGCTCTTTGAACTGCGCCTTGTTCTCTGTACTCCCATCAGGGCTACCCTGCCCCTCATGCTGTATTTTTCCAAGCAGACAGGGCTCCAGGTGATTGAGGGCCAATTCAACACTTGTTTGGGCAGGGTCAGACCCCCAGGAACCGAAACCACACTCTCTTCCTGCCTTCACCTTTATCCCGCTCTGGTTCTTGAATGTCAAGCCAGGAAGGGCCCCTTGTGCAATCAAAACCCCTGCCACACAGACAGACCACACAGCATGCTGGCCCCTAACCTTGTTCAGATTTCTGCTGTGGATGTGAGCTGTGTCCCCTGAAGTTTTGCAGTGTGGTAGCCCTGCCTGAGAGACCTTGGAACAGAAGGGAAAACTTAGGCTTGGGGAGGGCTCTCTAGCAAGAGAGGAGCAGACCCTGTGACTCTCCAGCTGCACCACCCCAGCCCCTCTCACCCCACCCCCAGCCCTCGTGTCATGAGAGAAGATGTCAGGGCCACAAGGACATATGGCCTGGGCTGACGTCTGATCCCCTCCCCACCCAATATTCAAGGCTGCCTTGGCCCAGGGTGTTTGCTTCCTTCAAAGGACACAAGGACACGTGTTTGTCCGGGGGCTTCCTGCTGTGGGAAGTGCAGGCCTAGGCCTCAGACAACCATGAGTCCAAACTTGTCCTCTACCACTTGCTAGCTGTGTGAGTTTGGGTAAGCTATTTGACCTTTCTATGCCCACTTTCAAAGGAATTTTTTAGGTTTAAAATTCCACAGGGACACAATTTTAAAAAAAATCCCACAGGGAGGGGGACCCTCACACCCAGTGCTGCAGCCCCAGAGCCAAGCCTGACAATTCCAGAAGCAACAGATCCAGAAAGTCATTCTTGTCCTGCTCATTCAAAAAGTGCACAAACATCGAGGGCTGCGTGGGTAGCAGCTGCTGGGGCTCTCGGCTCCCTGCGGGGGAGGGGGGTTGGACCAAGTGGGGAGATGGCCGATTCAAGCCAGGGGCAGTCAGAACCTACGCCGGGGTCACAGAGCAGGTCGGTGACTGGCCTAGAATTCACACCACGAGCCAATGACAGAGGGAAACCCTTCCATTCAGGAGATGCACAAGGACTTGGGGCTTGGAAAAAGGTGTGGTATTCACATCCCCAGAAAGCTTTTTGTTCACCCTCATCACAACTGCAGTCATCTCCCTAAAGCTGACTGTGAGCCTGAGGCTGTAGCCCACACCCATCATCTCAACCTCTATTAGAGGTAATTAATGATATCCCCATTTTACAGACGTGGAGCTTGAGGCTCAAAGAGGTGAAATCACTAGCCCAAGACCTCACAGGATTTGAACTGGAGTCTAACCAGGAGTCCGGGGCCCTAACAAAGTCCTCCTACAGCCAGGAGGTTATTCCTGGCAGAGGACTGGGGAGAGAGAGACATGATGGGGGGTATACCGAGCCCCTGGGAGGGGCTGGAGCCTTCACTGATACCAGCTGCCCCAGAGGTCCAGAGGAATCCATGACCCTGGCCTCAAGTGGTCTGCCCAGGCCAGGGAGGGAAGGCAGCTAAGAGCAGGATCTAGGGCAAGTCTGCAATCAGCAGCTCCCCAGCCCACCACCTCTGGCAATCCGCTGGGCACAGGGCTGGCCAAAGCGGGGCTTCTCAAACTCATCTTCCCCCAGAGAAAACCTGGGTGCAGAAAAAAACAGGCATTGGGGCCTGGTATCGAGGAAACGTAGCAGAACACTTTTTGCCACCACCACCCCCCCTTCCCATCACCATGTACTTTTGCTTCTAACGCCCTGCACAATGACCCTTCTTCAGAGAACTGCCCCTGGTGACTTTGTGTGCACAGGTAGACAGCAGGGAGTGACAGGAAATGTACAGCTCCTCCCTCCCCAGGCCTTGCCCAAAGACTGACGGGTGAATGAAAGGCCTTGCCTTGAACAGAGACAACTCTGAGACATAACTAACACTCCAGCCTCCGCCTCCTACAACCCCCCTATCAGGCTGAAGCTCCCTCTGCAGGACTGTGCCTGAAATCCCACCCTTGCTGGGCTTCCCCCGTTCCTGTTCTGCTTCCCCCACTCCCTAGATGGTCTCCTGATCTCAGTCAGCTTCTGGGGGGCAGACCTAAAGCAGACCACTTCTCTGTGTTTTAAAATATTCCTGCACATTATGCCCTCTGCCCCATCACGTACCTATAAATACTTAGGTTTGGCCCTCAAACCTTCAAGTAAAGTACTCCAAGGTGCATGGTGACTCCAGTGCCCCTGCACATTCCACTGTGTACCCCAAACTGAGCGTGGGGGGCCGGGGAAGAAGGTGGTGGTGTGGGACGCTCTGAGTGCCTCCATCTGCCCTACCCAACCCCCCTCAGCACACGCGAAGTCCCAGCCCCCTTGCACAACCAACACCCCAACCACACAGCGCACTGGCCCCTGGCCTCGTTCAGATTTCTTTATTGAAAAATTAAAGTTGTAAGCTCTGTATATAAATACACTGACGCTGTTGGTCACCTGCAAGGCCTCTGGGATAGGCTAGGGTTTGGGGGGAAGCTAGGGCTCTGGGGCCCCCAGGGGTGCGGGAAGGGAAATAAATAATAAATATCATGGGGGATACAAGGAGCCCAGAATAAGGGTGTGAACGGGGAGGTGCTTGATGCTTATTTGTGGCACTAAAGGTCCTGCGAGATGCCCCCCTGGCCAGGGGCTGAGTCCATGAATTCTCACTGTGACCTCACTCCAGACAAAGGCTCAGGTGTCTGGGGGTGGACTGGGTCCAGCTGGCTAGGGGCAGACTGGGTCCAGCTGGCTAGGGGCAGGGGCGCCCCCCATCCAACTCGAACAGGCCCTGGCAGGCTTCCATGGACGTGCCAAGATACAGGCGCTCTGCCTTTCCCCTTCTTTCTCCCCTTCTCACGGCCCACATGTGGAGTGAGCAGCTACTGTGTACCCGGTGCGGCACCAGGTCCTGACATGACCTTCTGTTTGTCTCTCTCTCTTCTTGCCCAGCTCTCTTCTTTCCCTGGTCTGGTCCAGTGGGCTGTGGTGGAGTTGGGGGATGTCTTCCTGCTACCCTGGCCACGTACCCTCGGACCTTCAAGGAGCCTGACAGTGCCGGGAGGGAGAAGGGACCAGGGCCAAGAGCTGGGCAGTGGTGGAGGCACTCGGGCCTCAGCCCCTAGAGCACCACATTGAACTCGGTGACCAGAAAGTCAATGTAGTCACACTCCTTGGTCTTGAAGGCCTCAGCGATGATGCGGGCAGCCTCCCGATGCTCCTTGCCCCGAAGCGTCAGCCCGTTCACTTCCAGGATCACGTGGCCCACCTTGAGCTGCCCACAGTTGTGGGCTGAGCCACCTCGCTGCAGGGGCAAGACACAGAGCAGGGGGCACATGGGTGGATGGAGACAGGCCAACCCGGCATCAATTAACCGTGCAGTCAGGCCCAACACTGCCAGTCAGGCAGCTATAATCCGAGCGTCCATTGCCCTGATTAGGAAAACTGAGACTCAGCAAGATCAAAGGCAATATGAGCCTGGGTCCACCCTTGGGTGCTGTGTCACCTCTGGGGGTGGCACAGTCCTCGGGATGCTGAGCGAGATCCCCAGGGTTAGGGAGAGATGAACAAGCAGGGCCCACACGCACCTGAATCGTGACGATCCTTGGAAGGGGCTGGCGGGTATTGGCACCACCCTCAATGGCGATGCCCAGGGTTGCTGCACTCTTCTTCATGCGGACTAGAGTGGATGTAGGCTCCAGGAGGCCAGGCTGTGGGTGTGAGTAGGAGGCCACTGACTAAGGCCATCTTGGAGCACAAGCCTGACCAGGGGGCTGGGCTGGGCCATCACATACCCTCTGCATCAACAGGGCTTGGATGTCAGCCCCGTGTTGGGAGCCTAGTATGTGCCAGGCCCGGAGCTAGGCACGGCGTCCTCAGCTCTATGCTGTTGTTGTTATTAGGTGCTGTAGAGTCGATTTCTGACTCATAGCAACCCCATGTGATAAAGCAGAACTTCCCCATAGGATTTTATAGGCTGTAATCTTCACAGGAGCAGAATGCCAGGTCTTTTTCCCTCAAAGCCACCGGGTGGGTTCAAACTGCCAACCTTTTGATTAGCAGCGAGCATTTATTTACCCATTGCACCACCAGGGCTCCTTCTTAGCTCTACAATCCCTACGATAATAATCCCCTAAGGCTCAGTACAGTGGTTAAGAGATCGGCTGCTAACCAAAAGGTCAGCAGTTCGAATCCACCACCCTCTCCTTGGAAACCCTATAGGACAGTTCTACTCTGTCCTGTAGCGTCACTATGAGTCGGAATCGACTCAACAGCAACGGGTTTGGTTCTTTGTTTTTTAAGGCTCAGGACATAAACGGGCTTGGCTAAGCCAGCTGGGCAGGGGTGAGGGGGAACATGAGAACTCAAATCCAGGCCTGCCTGACTCCAAGGACTGCCTCAGCTGCCACGCCATGTGAGTATTGAAGGGACCTTAAAGATTATCCAGACCGACCCCCTCAGTGCCCGGTCGCCCAGGGTCAGTGGTGAAGCTCAGACTTAAACTGAGCCTTCCAACTCCTGATCCAGTGTTCTTTCCAAGACTCAAATACCTCTAGTAATAGGGGCTCACTACCTCCCCTGGTGGTCACAGGCCAAGCTGAAACCTGGTCCCCTGGGCCTCCCCATTCTTGGCCCCTCAGCCCCCTCCACCCCCACCCCCTTGCTCACCGGCTTGGCGGCCCCCTCTGTGGTTCTCTCATTCCGAGGCAGCTCCTTGCTGTTCCTGCTCTTGGTGGACGCTGTCTGTCTGCCTCGGCCTGGCACGCCAACCTCTGCCTCACCGGCGTCCACGCCACTGTCCTCACTCAGGGTCTGCCCACTGTCAGACAGCTGAGAGAGCGTGGAAGCTGCTGAGGCGGGGAACAGGAGGAGAACAATGGTTTATGCAGCTGGGTCAGAGAGGGCTTCCTGGAGGAGGTGATGTAGCTGAAGGCTGGAAGGCTGCAGGGGGAGTCTGCAGACAGAGACAGTGGGAAGGGTGTAGGGACCGTGGGGCTGGAAGGCAGGGAGACTCCTCACCACCCTCTCCCCCTCCTGAAGCCCTGCCCTTCCAATCTGGCCTGCCACGAAGGCCGCCACTTCTGGCCATCTGCCTTGACTGCCTAGTCTTCATCCACCAGCGGAGTGATTAAAAACAGATGTCAGACATCAAACCCAGCCCACATTTTTTTTTTTAAACCCACACGATGTTGTCAAATTTTAATGATGAACCAACACATTCAAATTAGATTTCATATAAAAATTAAATTTCTAAGCCTCTCAAGAAAAAAAATGTCCTCGCCTGGATCCATGCATGAACCTCTGAGCTGAGGGGCGGGCACATGCTCTCTAGTTCACCTTGTGTATAACCACCTGGCCCCTGAGATGGAGACTCTAGGTTAAAAACAAGCACTCTGGAGTCTGGCAAGTCAGGTTTGGATCCTGACTAGCTAGTCCACTGACTAGCTTGCAGCCCTGGAAAAGTTACATAGCCTCTCTGAGCCCCTGTGTTCTCATTCTAATACAGGAGCAATGATGCCTATCCAAGGGAATTATTCTAAATACTAATAGATATTATAGATAGAGTGAAGCAGTCAAGACCATATACTTGAGCTGGGCTGCCTGGCTCCACAGTTACTTCCTGTGCCTCAGTTTATTCATCTGTAAAATGGGGATGATAATATGGCCAGTCTCAGAGGGCTGTTAAAAGCAAGGTGAGTATTAGTACTTTGTTAACAGTTACTAGTCTCACAGGGCTGTTGTGAAGGTTAAATGAGTTAGTACTATAGGCAAGGCCCTAAGAAAAGTGCCTGGCACACAGTAAGTGCTGTGTAACTATGAGCTCTTATTATCACATGTGTGTCCAGCTCAGAGCCCATTCTAGAGGCAGGCAATGATGTGTACACGATAGCTCTGGTTTCTCTTACCACATCCGGCTGCCTCTCATCAAGCTACTGAGCGTTGGGACCCTGCATTCTGACTTTGGTCAGAATTCTGGTCTGCCCGCTGCCTGGCACACAGCAGGCACTCAGCTAACATCTGCTAACTCAGTGGACCACCTTCCGTGGCTGCAGGGACACCCACGTATTGTTTTAGCCACAAGATGGCAGCAGAGTCCAACAAAATGCCCCCAACTAGCTAACATGGGAGGCGCTCCAGAGCTGGTGGGGGCTTTCCGGGAGTGGAAAGTGGGCTCTGCCATCCTCCCATCTATGCAGCTGGACTTCCACTGGAAAGTCTGCTTGCCAGGTGTCAGGAAGGTCCATACTACAATCAGACCCTGCAGCCCCATGTCAGGAGACCTGCCAGGGGCCCAGGACTGTGATTTCAATACCCACTGTTCCCCTACACTTATAGGGTACCTCAGAGACCAAAAGAAGTCATCCCTGCCCCCAACGAGCTTGCTGGGCTAACTACAGGGTGGTCAGGGCTGCAGGAGCTGGTGGAGGAGCCCCCAACCCTTGCTGTAATCTCCTTTTCCCACAGGGAAAGTAAGGCTTAGAAAGGAGAGCAGCTTGTCCAAGTCATGCAGCTGGTAAGCAGCAGAGTCACATTCTGCCTCCAAAACCACCTCAGCAGGCTACTCAGGACCCTGTTCCCCTGGCCGCTCTGACCCTGAGCCAGAAGGACCCTCAGCAAACACATGGCCCCACCCCTCACCATGCAGAAGAGTAGACTGACCAAGAGAGGGCAGGGACCCGCCCCAGATGACACAGCCTGGGCCCCCAAGCCCAGCCCTGATCCGTGTCTGCAGGGCACTCACCACGCGTCTGGGGCAGTGCCCTCACTTCGTTCACATCCGGCTCGCTGTCCGGGCGGTGCACCTCCACCATGACAAAGTGCTGGTTCGCGCCTGTCTGGTCTGTGTGGCCGGAGGGCGAGGGTGGAGGAAGGCAGCCCCCAGCCACCGTGGCCTCTGCAGAGGGCCTTTTCAAGTGTGGGGGCGACTGGACCCGTGGGAAGGGACCGATGGGGTGCTGGTTGACCAAGGCCAGATGGGTGTCCAGTGGCCTCTTGGCGCCAGGGTTGGCAGGAGAGACAGAGGCGTAGATGGGGGAGGAGGGCGAGCCCTGTGCTGAGGAAGCCCCTGGAGTGGGTGCGGCGCCCACCGGCAGGCTGCGGTTCTGTGCAGCCGAGAAGACGATGCCCGAGTGGGACGACTCAGAGGGGGTGTGCTGGAGGTCCTCTCTCCCTGGCTTCCTTGGCTGGGCAAGTGAGCAGTCATGGCTTTGGGCCAGAGGTGGCGAGTGAGGTGGTGGCTTGAAGCTCGGCAGCCCCTTGGAGATGGACTTGACATCATCCTGCCAAAAGACCCAAAAAGAGTAGAAGGAGTCAGAGCCCATTGCAGCTAGAAGACAGGAGGCTGAAGCAGCCGAGTGGAGCGAGGCCTGGCTGGAATCCTGTCCCCGTGCTATCGGCTCGTGGCCACGCAGCTCTGAATAATGCAGTGCTCAAGTGGAAAACTGTTCCCCAGCATCTCGGCAGCTGATAAGCGTCAGGATCTTGGCAAGTGTCTCTGGGGACGGCATTGCTCCCTCTGGGAACCAAAGTTCTTGGCACTGCCCAGGGCTTGTCACAGGGAACAAGACTTAATTAGAGGAAGGGTGAAGAGGATGGGGAAATGGCATTTCTTTTTTTTTTTTCTTTTTTTTGGTGGAAGTATACACAGACAAAGATACACCATTTCAACAATGTCTACATGTATCATTCTTCAAGTTGTGCTATCATTCTCGCTAACCTTTTCCAAATTACTCCACCACCATTATCTGCAACTCACCTCCCCCTAAGCTTCCCATCCAACCTTTCCAGGTGCCACTATCAATTTGATCTCACATAGATATGGCTTTTCTTTTTAGGGATTATTTTGGCTACTAGAGGCGGGAGATGTGACAGGACTGGAGGGAACAAGAATGAACACGAGGATGGCATAGGGAGGATGTGGCCTGGGCTGCTATGTGGCCCTGGGCAAGACACACTACCTGAGTGTACCTCTGGGCAACAGGAAAATTGTGCCTGCCTAGCAAGTGATGTGGGAATTTGAAGAGCAATGTGTATAACATGTTAGCAAGTACCTGCTACCCAGCAGGTGCTGGGTGAGTGGCAGCTGTGGATGCTGTGATTACTACTTTCCCTTTGTCTATGCCAACATCCAACACTTACAGAGCACTGACTACATTATAGGTGCTGTTCTAAGCACCCTACGTAAGTTAACTAATTTACCCCTTGGCACAAACGTATGGGGTAAGTACACTATTATCATTCTCATTTTATAGACAGAGAAACTAAGGCACAGAGAGGTTAAGAAACTTGCCCAAAGTCATATAGTAAGTGACAGAGGTAGGATTTGAACCCAGGTAGTCTGCCTCCAGGGTCTATGCTGTTTGGGTCATAATCACAAAGTGATGCTGTATGAGTGACTGCTGTGTGCACACTAAAGTCACATTTAACTTCTATCTCTGGCCTACCATATTTTTATGCAAATAACATCAGCCCTCTGCATTTGTCTGCCAGCCACAGCCCCCAGGCACCCTCACAAGCACAGCCATGCCAATCCTCCTCCACGTTTCTGTAAAAAAAAAATTAGCATACTGCCTCCCTGGGGTGGGGATGGGGGTGGCACTGCCAGCTAACAAATGCAGAAGGAGTACGTTATTTGTGTAAAATACAGTAATCATATGCCTCTCCAGGAGTTCCCTTCACATGCTCCAAGTTTCAGCACTTGCTAGGATAATGTTCAGATAACACATCAAAGTAAGCACCAACTCAGCAAATAGGCCATGGCAAACAGCCTGATGGCTCCACCTAAAATCACCAGGAACAAGCCCTCCTGGACCCGCACAGGCTCTGAGAGCTCACAGCAGAGGCCTCTGTCCTCCCATCCACTTCCTCTGGCTCCCACTGAGGGGGTCAGTCCCCAGGGTCCCAGGCAGACCCAGAAGGAGAAAACCTAACTAAAGGGTGAGAGAGGGTCTTACCAGGGAGACATCTGGGAGGGTGTTGACACTGCCCTGGACAGCCTCGCCAGTCTCCTCCAGGTCCAGAGTGTTCTGGAAGGGGAGCAGAAGGTAAGGTAAGCAAATATAAGCCAAGAGGGAAAAAATGGTTTGCTCTCCAGGACACCAAAGTCTGTGGGGCCCTATGACCCTTTCATGTGGTTTATGTGACTCCTGGCACACTCTACTCCATTGGAATTCATGTCATGCACTGAAATTAGTGTTAATTCTTGACAGTCATTTTAAAACTGATTTGTGTTTGAGACTTTTCTGATCATTTCTAGTCCTCCCCTGAACTAGCTGGAAATGCTGTGGGCTGTCTCCAGCCTTAACTGGGAATCCCTGGAGCTCAGCCCAGAACAACGCTTGCAATGCCTTCAAACCCAAGAATTCTCTTTCCACCGCTAGCTGTCGGAATCCAGGAAAGGTGTGAAAATGGCAAGGGGGAAGTGGGAAATGGATAGGGAAAGTCTCTCTCTCTCTCTTTTTCATTTTAATGGTTTTAATCCTGAATGGGTGGCTGACGGTTTAAATGGACATTATTTTGCAAAACCGTCCATCTCTTCCTTCCTTCCTCAACTCATTAGAAATAGCCTAATGTGCCCCCAGGTGACAACAAGCTGCCTAAAGGCAGCTCTAGGGATATGGATGGTACAATGACAACCTCTGCTATGAGTGGAGATGAGTGGCAGGCATTCTGTGGCACCGAAGCAATTCAACTGCCTATGCACAAAAGGGAATCAACCTGGGTTTACATGTTCTGAAATAATGAAAAGGAAAAGTAAAACATTTATATATATATAAATATACACACATATGGGCGTGATGTGCATATATAATTGTATGTGTAGATAGATCGATCGACAGGTGGATAGATCGATCATCGGTCTATCCCTAGGTGGTGCAAATGGTTAACTGCTTGGCTGCTAACTGAAAGGCTGGTGGTTCCAGTGTACCCAGAGGTGCCTCAGAAGAAAGTCCCAGCAGTCTACTTCCAAAAAACCAGCCACTGAAAACCGTATGGAGCACAGTTCTACTCTGACACACATGGGGGTCACCATGAGTCAGAATCGACTCAACAGCAATGGCAACTGACTGGGAAAGCAGAGCTCCTTTCAAAGCTGGGCTGTCTTGAGGGCCCAGGGCCACCATTTTTCTCCACCCCTCAGAGTCCAGGATGGCAACAAGCCTCAGCTCAAGTCCCAAGCACAGTGATCAATACTGAGCAGGCTCTGAAGCTCCGGACTGACAAGGGACTAGGGACAAAGGTGGGGTAAAACACCGCCCCGCCTCTGGGGAGCTCAGAGACTAGTGGGGTTGGCCGATGAATAAACCAGCAACGGGAGACTGTGCAGAGAAAGCACCCAGCAGGGAAACAGGCGCCTCTGGAAGTGCAGGAAAAAGTGTACAATAGAGCTGGGGGGTATCAAGAAAGGCTTCCTGGAGGAGAGTGCAGCTTAAAGCTGAGTGTTATGGGTGACCCAGGCAAAGAAAGTAGATGAGCATTTCAAACAGAGGGAAGGACGTGTATAAAGCAGGATGGATATAGAGGATGTTCAAGAATCTTCGGGCAGCTGGATCTGAGTGGAGCTGGAGCTGCTTAGACTTGAGCCTGAGGGCAGAGGGTTACCATGGAGACATGGTCAAGTTTGCCTTCTATGAAGATGGTCTTCACTCACTCCCTCTCCAGCCACACTAGAACACCAGACATGCCAGGGCCTTCACACTGCTGTTCCCTCTGCCTGGAACATTCTTCCCCTCTGCTACCCACAAGGCAGGCTGCATTCATTCCCTCACCTCCTTCAAGACTCCACTCAAACATCACCTTCTCAATGAGGCCCACTCTGGCCATGCCACATAAAATCGCAACCTTTCCCTGCTTTGTTTTTCTCTTTAGTGCTGATCACTGTTCTCCATAAAGTAGCCAAGATGCAATCCATGAAACATAAGTCAGATAACGTCTCTCCCCAGCTCATAAACCTACAGTAACTTTCCATCTTACTTGGCGGAAATACCAAACTTACTCATCATGCCTACTTGATCAAGCCCCTTCTTGCTACGCCTCCAACCAGATGGCTCATTCCTGCCTCAGGGCCTTTGCACTTGCTGCTCTCTGCCTGCACCCCACTTGTGACTCACTCCCTCTCTTCATTTAGTTCTGACTCAAGCAGCACCTCCACAGAGGGGCCTTCCCTGAGCAGTCCTGCCGGAACAGCACCCCCATCACCTCTCTATCCCCTGCCCCTGCTTTCTTTTCCTTTAACGCACTTATCGCCTGACAGTACGCTATGTATTTGCTTACTGTCTGTCTCTCCCACTAGAATATAAACTCCCCAAAGACAGGACTTGTGGCTCCCAGGTCCCCACTCTATCCCCGTGCTCAGAGCAGTAGCTGCTTGATGAATATTAAGTAAATTAATGAATTCATGAATGAATCAAAGGATGAATTAATTGCTCAATCACTCTGGCTATCATGGGGAGGAGGCCCATGCAAGCAGGGAAACGGGAGAGGCAGCTAAGGCAGTCACCATGGAGAGCAGTAATGGTGGCTTGGATGAGGGTAATGGCAGCAGCAGGGGTGGGAGGTACCCCCACTCCATACCCCGTAAGGCAGAGGCTGTGGGGTCATTCCACGCTGATCTCCATCTGGAATGATCTCTCTGAAGCCTTGAGCATTCTGGGACGCACAAAGGCCAGTCATGGAAATCCACTAACCGACAAGATGCTCAGCCCTCCTGGTTTGGCAGAAGAGCCGTTCACACCCAGAGCTTCTCATCTAGTCCCCGTGAGGCTGCTGGGACAACTGCTCCATTTCACCGATGAAGCTGAGGCTTACATGCCCAGTCTCCTGCCTCTCAGGAGGATGCTGCTGACAGCCTCTGTGATTCCTGGGACCGTGGGGGGGACCCTTGGAGAGGGTGAGGGGACAGTGATGGGGTCACTCTCTCACCCACTGATCAGTGACACCGGCTCTGGCTTTGCCACCTGAGGCATCTGTGTGATCACACCCAGCTCTGCCACTTACAGCTGAGTGACGGTAAGCAAATCATGCCACCTATCTGTGTCTCATCTTTCCCCATCTGTAAAATGGGGGTAATGGCAGTACCTGCCTCAAGCAGTTGATGGGAAGATTTGACATGTTTACATCTATAAAGCACTCAGAACAGAGCTTGGCACAATCTACAAGGGAAGGTGACTGTTACATGCATCAGAAGCCTGGGAGGCCTTGAACGTCTGCCCCCCAGCAACCGAATAAATAGTGAAAACCTGCCTGGGCCCATGTGGATACCTTTGATGGAAAGAAAATGGCAGCCCTCCCCTCAAAACCATAATGATCCCATTGCTCCCTGAAACTCACCCAGCTGGGCAACACATTCTAAGTCAAGGAGCCTGGCAAGGTGGGGCTGGTGACATGCGATGATCTAGACAGTCATAGCCCCAGCTTCCACAGTCAGCACAGGGAGGAGTCAGAGGCCTCGGAGGTGCAGCCACTGCCACCTCCCTACATCCTGCAGGTGATCCTGGGGGAGCCAGGGTGAGGCTCAGACAACAGGCCATGGTGGGACCAAAGACACGGGATTCTGCATTGGAAGCTTTGGTCATTCATTCAGTGGCTCAACAAGTGTTTATCAGGCAGCCGGGACTTTGGAGGGAAGACCAGTCGGGAATACAAAGATGAAGGGGTCACAGTGTCCTCAACAGCTAGCAGAGAGCCCTGTACACAGCAGCTGCTCACAAACTCTTGTTCAGGGCCATTGACAGGGCTGGCAGTAGTAAAAGGGTCCCATGGAAGGGGGAAAGGAAGGATCCAGAGCCTGACAACACAAGCATATCTGTGCTGTGCACTATGGGAGAGGACGTGACTTTCTCTTGGCAAGGAGGATAGTAGGGAGCTACACATGACAGTGGACCCACTGTGTGCCAGGCCCCATGCTGATTCTCCCAGAAACCCTGTGAGTCAGGTACTATGATTCTCCCCTCACATCTTTTACATCTAAAGCTCAGAGAGAGAAGGGACTTGTCCAAGGTCACACAGCCATTCAATGGCAGATGGAGATTCTAACCCAGGTCTAGGTCAGTCCCAAGCCTGTGCTGCTCCACCCTGACCCCAGAATTGGACAGGGCCCCAACACTGTAGGAACCAGAAGACCCCATGTGGGACCCTCTCTAAAATGAGAGAGAAGGCAGCCATTGTTGTCCCCTGGCCTCTGCTTCAATCTCTGCTATTAATGACATCCTGGAGCCAAGACAGAAGACTAGGGGGGAGGGGGGAAAACATCCAGCCCTGGGAGGAGGGAGCCTGTGGAGCAAACGGCAGACGGCAGACAGGTCAGAGCCCGGCCCTGCCACTCTCCATCTGCTGAATCCAGACGCTCAGGAGATCCGAGTCCCGGAGCCATGCTCCATGTGCATCTGAAATAGCTGCAGACAGCAGGCTAAGAACCTGGGGGATGCGTCAGCAGAAACAATTTCAAACAGGCTTCAAGAGGAGGATCAAGGTCAGAGCTCATGTAGGAGCCAGGCATGAATGTCCTGGCCACTCCCCTAACCCCCCTAACTGCCTGGGGCCACCTCTGCCCTTACACCCACTGAGGCCAGAGCTCAGCCAAGGGCTTAGACCAGGTGGCTCCATTAATCCTGCCAGGTGGGACCCTTCACCCACTCCACGGCTGAGCTGACTGAGTGAGGCTCAGAGAGAAAAGGCCACCTGCCCAAGGTCACAAAGCAAAGGTGGGGGCAGAAAGTTGAACCCCATTCAAGGTCTGAATCTCTATCCCAGGCAAAAATGCGCTTCCCACAAAAGCCAGCAAGTCTCCAAGACCTGCTGCTATCGTCCCCCATCTCCTTCCTCCTCAAGTTTTGTGGCAATTCAGAAAATTCCCTTCTTTTAAGAGAAAAGAACCCTTTTTTGTCCAAGCTGGCCCAATCACGGCCCAGATGTCCAAAGAAGGGACAAGAAACATGTCAACAGAAACAAAACGACACAGGGCATCACCTGTGCCAACCTCTGACCTCTGCCAGGTGGACTCCTGATTCTGGAAAGGAGGAAGCTT